CTCCCATTGGGCTCGCGTCTGATCGCTGCTGCCCCAGGGTATCAAGGCCTCCGCGCGGGAAGGGCTCATCTGACCTGTTTGCTTTCGGGCTCAATGCATGGACCTTAAAAACGGTTTAGGGTTCAGGGTTTAGGGTTTAGGATAAAACCCCAAGCCATAAAGGCCCCAAACCGTAAACCCAAACATTAAACTAGCAATGTAGTAGGTGTTCATTGTTTTGGGGGAGACGTAGCCAGGGCTTCTGAATCAGGATCCTACAATGCCTACCCGATTGAGCTTCGTCGTGTGTGGGCGCACTTGCCACGTTGAGTGCAGTTTGTCTGGGTGCCTGGTTTCTGCGACTCCAGTGGTTCCTAAACCCGCAACCCTTAACCCTAAACCCCAAACCCTAAATCCTAAACCCTAACAGAAATTTCACAACGAAGCCCGCAAGCCTTTGACATCCTGAACCCAAAGACCTCATATCAAACCGAAGCCCCAAGCCCAAGGACACCTCAAACCCGAAACCCTAAGACCCTGTAAGACCTAAACCCTTCTACCCGAAACCTTTCCGAAAGCCTAAAACCCTAAAGACCTTATCTTCCCAAAGCTCCTATACCCGAAACCTCTCCGAAATCCTACAACCCTAAAGACCTTGTCTTCCCTAAACTCCTGTACCCTAAACCTAGCCCGCAGAGGCCTCAAACTCCTTATCATAGCTCTTATAGCAATCCTTCGAAGTCCCATTCTCGGTTTGGGCGATCAAAGCGCTTGGCAGCCGGCATGGCTGCGGCAACTGGATCCGTCCGCCCTGCCGCCTGACGGATTCGAGTGGATCGAAGTTGATCCGCCCCTTCCGGCTCCTATGCAGCAACAGGTTCCATGGAGCAACCGCGAAGGCTGGAAGATCCGCGTCTGCAACCACTTCCCGACCTCCCCGCAGACCATCCGCCGTCCGTCGTGGTGGCCGTATCCGGATATGTTCTGCATCCGCCCGGCGAACCATCCGTCCTGGCTGGAGCGCCAGGCGCCGCCGCAGCCCGTGTCACACATTCCCGTCCGCGGGTCCCTATTCTAACTATTAAGGCCCCTAAAACCGCGAAGCAAGACCGAATTCAGCCAGGGCCGCCTTTCCACTGCTTTTGACCCTGGCCCTGGAGGTGGGCTTATTTTAGGGGCCTACTTGGAGGATCATGGGACTTAGTAAGTAAGGTTATAAGTACCGTAATTGGGGTTATAAGTAGTTATAAGTATAGCTACCTTGCTTATAACTCTAGGTACTAAGTCCCATGATCCTCTCAGTACCCCTTAATTCAGGAATATACCTTCAATTATCGAGGCCTTAATATTATGATTTAAGGTATGTTCCTTAATCAAGGGGTATCGGGATCTCTGGGTACATAGGGTTCCTAGAGTTCCTTTAAAGGGGTCTATAAGGGTTACTATAAGGGATCTATAAGGGTTACTATAAGGGATCTATAAGGGCGCTAGAATTTAGGAGCCCAAAATAATTACCAGTACTATTTAGGGGCTTGCTTAGAGTAATTGTAATATACTGGGCTCCGAAACCCTATTCTAATTGTTAAGGCCCCTATATTGCTGCTTTTTTTTGCTTCAGGGCTCAGGGTTTGCTTGTTTTTTTTCTGCAGGGAGGTGTCTTATATACATGGGTGGTTGTCAGTATTAGGGTCGCTTTTTGGGTCCCGATTATCATACGGCACCTAATATTTAGGGTACCCAAAAAGGGACCATAATTTTGACAACTACCCGCATAAAGATCCCAGTTTTTGGGGTGCTGGTGTGGAAGCACTGGATTTCGGGTGGCCTTCCCTTCACCCCAAAAGCACCTGAACCGAGACAGCCCAATACCCCTTAGTTAAGGAATAGACCTTAGATCATAATATGCAGCCCCCTTGAATGAAGGAATAGACCTTAGATCAGAATATGAAGCCCCCTTAAATGAAGGAATAGACCTTAGATCATAATATGATGCCCCTCCTAATTTAAGGTCTATGCCTGTCGTTGCGGTACTGGGATCTCTGCACGTCGAGAGATGCTTCGGACGCTGAAGTGGGCCAAAGCGGATGCTTGTCCTGCCGAGGCTCCCTTTCCTGTAAGGGTCACTGTATACAAGTGATATTTTGGGGTCCTTATAGTAAGGATCCTAGTAGTTAGGGTACTATATTAGGGTCCCCGATTTTTGGAAACTCCCAAATGCAGGGGGTGTACTGGGACGCAATACCCGATACTTAGAATTACATAAACACCGTGAGCAAGCATTCCGGCCGATGCCGTCCTAGGTCCTAAACAGCCAACTGTCCTAGTTGGCTTAAGTCATGAATTCCCAGAGACTCCAATACCCCTTAATTAGGGAATATTCCCTAAATCATATTAAGGATCCTACTATAATTTAAGGTATATTCCTTAATTAAGGGATATTGCAGTCTCTGGGTTCTTAATCCTCAACCAGCCGACCCCGCCTAAATCTCCAACCACCGAAGAGTCAAGCCCTGCCTTGAAACCCCTAAACCCTATAACCCTTCCGCAACCTTAGCCTATAATGGGCTTTGTAATGGGTATATAATAGCTATATTAAGGGTATATACCTAGGGGTCCTTATTAAGGGTCCCTCCTTTTACCCTTGGAGTTTAGGAGGTTAAGTCAATCAAGTCCTCCCTAAACCCGAAGCCAGAAACGCCAAAGCAACCTGGATGAAGCCCACATAAGTTAGCAGTTAGCAGGTATAACGCCTCTACAAATCGTCATACGTCAGCCGGAAACCTTAAATGGCCCTAAACCCTGAACTCTCAGCCCCAAACCCTCCTCCAGTGGCGGCCCATTGGGGAGCGGCGTTCGGTGACGGCCCTGAGCTTAGGCTCCTCAAGAGCTGAACTCTCGGTCCTTTGAGGGATTCCTTTTGTGGGGTTCCTTTTCGGGGTTCCCTTTTGAGGGATTCCTTTGTTCGGTTTAGGATTTAGCTTAAGGGAATTCCTTTTTTGGGGTTCCCTTTTCGGGTTCCCCTTAACTTGGGTTTGGGGTTCCCTTTTCGGGTTTAGGGTTTAGAGTTTAGGGGTCCTTTTAGGCTTCTTCACTTTCGGGTTCCTTTTAGGGAACTATAAGGGATCCATAAGGAACCAAGGGGGTTTCAGGTTTCTTCCAAAGGGCTACTCTTTACAAGGGTTACTATAGGGGTTACTGAAGGGTTCTGTTGAGTCTTGAGAGGGTTGCCATAAGGACTCCGGGCTACTGTCAGGGTTCGCTTGTAAGGGCTTGTAAGGGTGATTACAAGGGCCGCTACTGGTATAAGGGTTCGTAGAGGAGCTCAGGAATTTTGGGGTTCAGATCTTTGTGCTACTGTGTTGGCGTGTAGGGATTGAGACTTGGTGTTTGTTTGGCGTTTTTCGAGGTTTGTTGCGACGGCTCTTGGTGACTGGTTTGGTTTGTTCCTTGTTTTGGGTTGTTGATATTGCTACACTTCTTGCTGTGGCTTATCTTGTGAGCGGGGGGAGAGGAATGAAGGCATAAAGCGCCGAAGCCGTCCGGAAGATTGCCCTAGAAACCTTAAACCCTAAACTGCTAGTGAGGGTTCCTGCTTAGGGTTTAGGGTTTAGGGTTCGCACTGGCGCAAAGTTACATGAGGAACATCTGAAGCTTATCTGACATCGCTGTTTGCGTCCTGATTGGTTTGTGGTGCTTCTGCGAAGCTGATGAAATGTCTCTCGACCCGAAGCATCCAAGTGTCCACCCCCTAATACATGATCCAAAAACGATTCCCTAAACCCTAAACCCTACGCCGTAAACCCTTAAACTCTTAAACTCTAGACTCCACACCCTAAAGGTTTAGGGTATAGATGCGAAACCTTAGCCTCTAAGCCGCATTCGCGCCTCCTGAAAGGAAGCTCGAGTCGCAGGTTCGAAACTTCGAGAAAAGACCCTCAAGTCATTCAGTCATTGAGTTCCCTCAGATCGGCGCTTTATCAGGCCAGTGTATTTTCGGTTTAAATTGGATTTCTAATTGAGGTTTGATTTTGACGGTTTAAAGGTTATGGTTTTGGGTTGAAGGTTCAGGTTTAGGGTTTGTGAGATGGGCTTTTGAGTTTATATAGGGTTCAGTGCGGTGGTTTAATGACGTTAGGACTTTGGGATTAGGGCCTTGGTCTATGAAGCCCCTAAGCCTTGAGTTCACAGCCGTCAACCCGAAACCCGAAATACCTTAAACCCTAAACCCTAAACTCAAACCCTAAACTCTAAACCCGAAGTCCGATACTCTAAACCCGAAGCCCTAAACCCTAAACTCTAAACCCTAAACTCTAAACCCGAAACCCCTAAACCCCCAAACCCTAAACCCTAAACCTCTCTACCATAATCCGATACCCGAAACCCTAAACCCGAAACCCTAAACCCGAAACCCTAAACTCTAAACCCTTTACGGTGATTCGGCTCAGGCCAGGCATGGCTGTAGTGTCTCGGACACGGAAAAAACACGGAGGGGCCTTCATGAAAGTGTAGGCTTTAGGGTTTAGGGTTTAGGGTTTTAGGGACCTTTAGGGTTATTGTAATGTTGCTTCGAGATGACGCGTGAGAGGCTTGGTGCAGCGGAATTTTCCATGATCACCACAATGCTGGCATACACTTAGAGTCTTAACAGCAACAGGTATGGTAGTGATCCAAACAATACTGTTATTCCTTTCGCTGTCTTTCTTCTTAGGATCCGTAATTCTTGTGGTTCCATTGCTTTTTTTTTGGGGGGGGGCTTGTGCCTCAGCAAAAAGGATGCTAAATCTTCCACACCAACTTTTTGTGCCGCACAAAGAAGCAAAGTATGGCCATCGCAAGCCGCAAAGTAGGAATCGCAGAACCTTAAACCCTACAACCATCGAAAAGACGCTGGGACCGGAAATCCGAACTTTCGCAGGCTGAACGCACGATTACTCTGGCAGTCGCAAGCAGCAATCGGTAGTTCCTACAGAACTTGGAGCATTACTGCGGTAGAAGGGTCTTCTCCCCCGCTTGATGCCGCTATGTCCGGTCACTATGGGGCGAGGTGTCCGGTCACGGTGGAGAGCGAGGGAGGGAGTCGTGCCTTTTGTCATAAGGACGGTTTAGGGCTTAGGGTTTAGGGGTTTGGGTTTAGGGTTTAGGGCTTAGGGTTTAGGGGTTTGGGTTTAGGGTTTAGGGCTGAGGGACACCAGCATACGCAGAGCCGACGCTATCTCCGCGTATATGGGCGCAGATGCATACACACCTGCTCACATACAGTGTTTATATCGACAGACAGTCAGAGTTTAGTTCGAGAGTGCAGCAGGGGCTTGTGGGAGGTTGAAGGTTTCGCGAGTTGAAGGCTTCAAGGAAGCAGATGGGTCTTGAGGCCAAGAGGTGTGTTGCGTTGCGGAGCTAGGTGCCTGAAGGAGATGGGGGGGGGTAGTTGTCAACACCGTGGCGCTGCATAGGCACATCGCAAGCACATGCGAGTGCCGTAACTGCGGGCTTGCGCAGTTGGACAACCTTGCAGTGAACACGCCCTCCCCGAGTACGGTAATCCAATGAGTTCTAATGAGCAAAACTGGATCAGCTGATGTCTGGGAACCCGAAATCGGCTTGAATACTTACCAACACTATTCCCTAGGGCTCGTGATTGTGATTTTAATACAATATACCTTAAAAGCGTATTCTAGGATGCCCAGTAGTACCCTTATTCCCTTTTTGTAGTCCTAGGTTCCTTCTAAAGTTACCCAATACCAAAAAGAGAGGCCTTTTTATTCTTAGCTTACTGGGTATCCTAGGTATTAGAACCATCCTAAACCCTAAACCCTAAACCACCATTAAGGACCCTGTTTTCGACTCTACTTGGAGGGTCGGGGGACTTAGTAACCGGTTATTTTAGGGACTTATCAGTACCATAACCCCAATTAGGGTCCCTTTTAGGGTACTTATAAGTCTACTTACTACCTACTTACTAAGTCGCCCGACCCTCCAAGTAAGAGACTGAGAACCAGAAGCCTGCCTCGCGCGAGGCCTTCGCAATCCGGCCGGTCACGTCAAGCGCCTGGAGGACGAGCTCAGGGTGTAGGGTTTAGGGGTTTTAGGGGTTTAGGGTTTAGGGGTGTAGGGGTTTGGAGTTTAGGGGTTTCAGGGGTTTTAGGGGTTTGGGGGTTTCAGGGGTTTAGGGGTTTAGGGGTTTAGGGTTTAGGGGTTTGGGGGTTTCAGGGGTTTAGAGTTTTCATGCCAAAGCCCTGAACAATTCCGGGCCTACTGATTTCAACAAGAGAAACCAAGGCCAGCTCTCCAAGCCCTCCACTTGCAGTCCCTTTAAAGGGAACTCCAGAAAGTTGGAATGTGGTTTCAGGGTAGGATACCCTATAATTTACCATAAAGGGTTTAGGATAACCATATTCCAACTTTCTGGCTGTTACTTGATGAGTCTACACCGGTAATAGTAAGTGTTTACATGTTTATTTGTTTAATTTCTTCCAACATTGAATATATTTTTGTAGAAAAATGGTTAAAGAAAGGCTCCTTGTACGACCCCTAAGTCATGAAGCTATGATTCTATAATAGGGTTCCCTTTCAGGGTATGCCATAGGTAGCCCTAAACCCTAAACCCTAAACCGATAGGTTCTACAATGGGGGTCATGCCCTGAAATGATCCAGAGGAGAGTCGCCGGGATCGGAGCTCGCTGCGCGGATGCTGAGCCAAAAGAGGTGCCCGTTTAGGGTTTAGGGTTTAGGGGTTAGGGTTTAGGGTTTAGGGTTTAGGGTTTAAGGTTTAGGGTTTAGGGTTTAGGGTTATAGAGTTTAGGGGGTTAGGGTTTAGGGTTTAGGGTACTTCGAGGATCAGGGGACCCAGTTGCTGTCGTTATTACTGTCCCTCTACTGTGGTAATCCTTGGGGAACCCGACTCAAAGGAGCAATCGATTGGAAGCCAAAGGTTGACTTGATAAGGGCTCCTTTAAGGGGATCTATAGGGTTTAGGAAGTTTAGGGATCTAAGGACAGCTTCCACCTTCTTATTCTTTGGTGTGATGTTGGCTTGGATCTGGCGCTGTCGCGTTTAGGATCCAGGGGTTAAGACATTCACGCCGAACCTTATACGGAAAGCGACCAAGACACTAAACCCCAAGCCCTTCCAGCCTCAAGCCTTTGACACCCTAAACACCATCCGTCTCATGCATACGATAAACATGATCGGTGTTGCTCTTCCTGTTCTAAAGTTGTCTACAACATCTTTTTTGCTGAAGGCATCGCTTTTAGGGCCATGTTCCCTTAATACCTAAACCCTAAACCCCTACACCCTAAACCCTAAATCCTTCCCCCAACCCCTAAACTCTAATGCCCTAAACGCCAAACTCTGAACCCATATTCCCCTAACCCCGAAACGCCTAAACCCCTAAACCCCAAACCCCAAACCCCAACCCCGGACCGTCTCATCTTCGGGTTCGCTTCAGAAAGGCCGCGGCCATCAGCTTCCACGGCGATGGCTTTGAGGCGCACCAGTCTCTTGAGTCTGTGTCTTTGAGAGTTTACCTGGACCCTGAAGAACCTAACTTGTTCGGGTTCCTGGTTTCCTAATATGAGCCCTAAACCCTAAACCCTAAACCCTAAAACCCTAAAGTCCTTAAACGGGTAGGTTCTTCAGGGTCCAAGTAGGGTTTAGGGGATCAAAGTTTAGGGTTTTGCATGCTTCTGATCCGTCCTGGAGTCCTGAAACAAAGGGGGAAAGGAGGGACCCCTAATGGGGACCCCTACCCTGTAATGGGGCTTTGTAATGGGTATATAATAGCTATATTAAGGGTATATTACCTAGGGGTCCTTATTAAGGGTCCCTCCTTTTACCCTTGGACTGAAACAAGGCGACAAGCGGAGACCTCTGGTTCGAAACCCCACGGCGGGCATGATCCATTGCCGCTCGTGCAGCACGTACGTAACTTCGACAGGTCCCGACAAACTCATTCAACGTGGTTTGGCATTTCGCCTTGTTTTCATGCCTTGGCACCCTAAAACCCTAAACCCCTCAACCCCTAAACCCCTAAACACCTAAACCCCTCAACCCCTGAACTCCTAGACCCTAAAGCCCTAAACCCCTGAACCCCAAGCCGGACAGCTCCAGTCCAGAGCACCAGTCGCAAGTTGCTTTGCAAGCTACTGTTGATGATATAAATCCTGCATTACGCATAATATATATATATATATATACACCGTAATTTCCATAGTTTAGGGTCCTTAAGGTAATGCAGGATTTGTATCATCAACCGTAGCAGTCCAGTAGGTAACCTTTAACCTTTTTTGGGTAGTATAATCCCTGTCTAACCAAAAAGGTTAACCTGTAGTTCCCCATGATACCCGACAAGTAGGCTAAACCCTGATCCCTCCAAGCCCAAAGCCCTACGCCCCTAACCCTGAAACACTCTAAGTAAATCAACCCAGTGAGCTCTACAAATCCCGACAAGTACTACTATTTGCTTAAGAAACCACCAAAAAATAAAAAGATAATAATCCCTATATTACCCCCATAAGGAATATTTTTTTTGGTGGTTCTTAAGCAAATAGTAGAGTAGGTGCTTTGCAAGCCTTCGAGCTGAACTCGGGAAGTTGATGGAGTTCTCATGAACCCGTCTGTGACAAACGGGTGGTTGTCCCTCTTTGGGTCCCTATTACAGTACGGCACATATTATTTCGGGGTACCCGATTAGGGACCCTAATTTTGACAACTACCCAAATGAGCGTCCCATCTCTGTTTGGCCATTGTTGGATTACATTCTTATGGGCACTTAAGCTCGATCAAGAACGACAATGTAGACTTTCAATACTACCCCGATAATGAGCTGGTTTTCATCTGCCCTTTGCAAGTTCCTGGGACTGAGTGCAAGATTCTGACTGAGCCTACTTAGAGGATCATGGGACTTAGTAAGTAGGTTATAATTGGGGTTATAAGTCCCCAAAGTGGGGTTATCCTAACTAAAACCTACTTATAACCTTACTTACTAAGTCCCATGAGCCTTTAAGTACCCTCTATTAGACCCTAAATGCCCCTTATTTGGGACCCTATACCCCTATTTGAGGGTACTCAAGGAGGGTCCTGGTACACTCTTCATCCCGAAGCCTTGGGTCCGAAAGTTGCTTGAGCCGCTTCCCAGAGACTCCAATATCCCTTAATTAAGGAATATACCTTCAATTATAGTAGGATCCTCAATATGATTTAAGGAATATTCCTTAATTAAGGGATATTGGAGTCTGTGGGTTCCTGTTCACCCAGGCCCGACGTAAGCGTACGAGTTCGCTTTATCACTGGGCACAGCGGTGGCGGTGGCGGTGGCTTGTCTTGATTGTGGTACTCTTCATAGTGAAGGCAAGTGAGCAGGATTAATGTGGTTAGCGGTAAGAAGGCGGTGACGATCAGTCGGGTGTGGGGCTTGTGTTTTTCTTGTGATGCCAGACAGACGAAATTCGGGGCACCCAGTCTAGCAATTAGTCGGGGTGGTGGTGGTGGTGGTGGTAGAAGTAAGAGTAGCAGCGGCAGGAGTAGCAGCAGGAGTAGTAGTAGCGCTGTTGTTCGTATTGTTGTTGTTGTTGGTACAGACAAAAACAGCAGCCCGTACTTGTTGTTAATTAGAAGCAATCGGGAATGCTTCCGGCGACCGCATAGGGTGCCTGTAGAGTTTTGGGAAGTTCAAGCCATGCCTGCCCCATGATAGAAATGTGGTGTAGGCTGGGTGGTTGTTGTAAAAGGGGGGGGGGGGGGTCAAAACAACAGACGGGGCTCCAGTTTTTGCCTCTACAACAGGGGGTAGAGACAAAGGCACCAGGGAAATCAGGACTTTGTCTCTACCCCCTGTGGTAGAGGCAAAAACTGGAGCCCCGTCTGTTGTTTTGACCACCCCCCCTTTACAACAACCGCCCACATTACACCACATTTCCACCACAGGTATAAGAATCTGCGATATCCAGAAGGGGTTCTGATGGGTGTTGGAAGGGCTTGTCTGGAATTTTGAGGGGTTTGCATTGGATACCCGTACACTCAAAACTATAGTTACCAGTTACTATACAGTAGTTTGCACAGGCCTCGCAAATGCATATTCTGCTCGGCGGGGAACCACCAAATGCACTGAAATACACACCAAATCCACTGAAATACACACCAAGTACACACCAAATCCACCGAAATACACATTAAATCCATTGAAATACACACCAAATCCACTGAAATACACATCAAATCCACTGAAATGCACACGAAATCCACTGAAATAAACACGAAATCCACTGAAATACACATCAAATCCACTGAAATGCACACGAAATCCACTGAAATAAACACGAAATCCACTGAAATACACACCAACTCCACTGAACTCCGCACCAAATCCATTGAAATACACGCGCAATCCACTGAAATACACCCGAAATCCATTGAAATACACACCAACTCCACTGAGATACAGACGAAATCCACTGAAAATACACACCAAACAGTATACATCACAGGCATCCACAGGCACTGTGTTGTTGTTGTTGTTGGGGGGGGGGGGGGGGTAAAACAACATGACGGGGCTCCTGTTTTTGTCTCTACCTAATGTACAGACAAAAAGCAGATACATGGGTTGACGGGGCTGCAGTTTTTGTTTGTACCTTGTTGTTGTTGTTGTTGTTGTTGTTGTTGTTGGTGGTGGTGGTGGTGGTGGTGGTGGTGGTGGTGGTGGTGGTGGTGGTGTTCTTGTGGTAGTTGTTGCTGTCGCTGCGCGTCACTGTTGCTGCTCTTGCTGCTCTTGCTGGTACTTCTTGTTGTTGCAGCAGCTTGCCAGGGCATAGAACGTTCGGCCTTCTGCGAGTGTTTTCGGCCCTTTGGTTGGGGACTGGAAGCTATGAAAGTTAGGGATCTAAAGCTGACGTGCCACTCTCGCTTGTCATGGTGCCAGGAGATTTTTCCAAGTTATACTTATGTTGGCCATATCAGAAAAGATGGCAACATGATAGAGCATGCCATCTACCTGATGTGTTTGCCAGGTCCACGTAGCGCAGGCCCCGCCAAAGCCCCCAACCCCATTGTCCAAAATGGCAAAGCTAAAGCCCCAAGCTTCGAACCCTAAACCCTAAGCCCTAAACCCTAAGCCCTATAAACCCTAAACCCTACGCCCGTAGCAGAAAGAAGTATCACCAGCATACGCGAAGCGACGGGCCCTGAGCAGAGAGCGCCCGTAAACGCCACCCGAGGTCTTCAACAGCTGCCGAGGGCCGCTGGCCTGCCTTTTTTGTGTTTTTTGATTAGGGTAGGGTTTAGGGTTTAAATAGGGTTTAGGAGTTAGGGTTTAGGGTGTAGGGTTGAGTAGGGCTTTGGGGTTTCAATTCGTTGAAGGCTTTGGATTTTGAGAGTTTTGGATGACGACGCTCTGGTTGTCTAGGTTGCTCTGCGCTAATCGCCTGGGCTTTGCGGCTTTAGCTCGGACGTGGGAAGATTGCTCATGCAAGCGATCTTTACGCTCCCAAACCTTGAAACCCTAAGCGCCAGAATCTGCCCGCTACCCTCCCACGGCCACCGGAGAGCATTGATATCAGACATCAAAGTTGTAGTAAGACCCTCAAGAATCTTACTCTTATACGAAAGCCCTTGATTCAACCCTAAACCCCTAAACCCCTAAACCCTAAACCCTAAACCCTAAACCCCAAACCCCTAAACCCCTAAACCCTACGACGTTCCTTCGCAAGACGCCGAGGCCCTAACCTACGGTCCTCCTGCAGCGCTGACACCTCTGCCGCTTCACGAGCAGCGTGGCCGATGGTGAGTCGTTTAGGGTCTAGGGTCTAGGGCTTATAGGGTTTTAGGGTTTATAGGGTTTATAGGGTTTTAGGGTTTAGGGTTTTAGAGTTTAGGGTTTTAGGATTTAGGGTTTAGGAGTCGGTTAGGGTCACCTTACCCTTCCTGGAATGTTATTTTTCCCGCTCAGACTTACATGTTCCCACCCCATCATGTGCAGTCCGGAAGAGTCAGCCCCTTTGTGGTTCATGGTTGCCTAACCACAAACTGGAACTTGCACTCCTGTCAGGATATTTCCTTCAGAACCTCTTTATGTTCAGGTGTTTCGGGGCTCCTAGATGGGTTCTGCAAGTGCAACTACAAGGGTCTGTATACTTAGCAGTAGTACTTCCTTGCAGTTCTCTCTGGCACTGTACTACACACTTTGGGTACTGCCCCCACTCTATAGTCTGGTTATATGGGTGGTGGTCAAATTATGATCCTTGTTTGGGTATCCTAAATATTAGGTGCCGTATTATAAGAAGGACCCACAAAGGGACCATAATTGTGACATCCACCCATATAAATCATATATAATAGACTATAATAGACTGTTTCGATGGGGGGCAGTGCCCAATACCTAGTAGTCGAGTAGGCAACCTTTAGCCTTGTTTGGGTAGTAAAGTCCCTATATAAACCCTATATAACCGAAAAGGTTATTCTTTAGTTCCCCCTAAACCCTAAACCCAGGAATACATACTCCAAAATCAAAGCCTCACTTAGCCAGGAAGGGTGGGCTCCTTACCACAAATACTCTCGGAAAAAGCCCCTGTCAAAGGCTCCATGTTAATTCCTGTTTGGGATTACCTTATAGGATTCTCAATATGAACCCCAAAAACGAGCTACTCTGGAGCCTCTAGGTGGAATGTAGATCTATATGCTTCCACTACTTCGACACGCTCTACGAAAACTGAATTCAAGACTGCGCAGCAGAAACCCCAACCAGCCTCAAGCCTAAACCACCTCGTAACCCTGAGCTCTGAACCTCTGAACCCTGAACCCTAAACCCTGAACCCTAAACACCCTGAACCCTGAACCCTAAACACCCTGAACCCTAAACCCTGAACCTGAAACCCTGAACCCTAAACCCTGAACCCGAAACCCTCAACCCGAAACCCTAAACCCGAAACCCTGAACCCTAAACTCTAAACCCTGAACCCAATACTCTAAACCCTAAACCCTCAACCCGAAACCCTAAACCCGAAACCCTAAACCCTGAACCGTGCACTCTAAACCCTAAATCCTAAACCCCGAACCCTGAACCCTAGACCCTAAGCCCTCTGCGCCTGAGGACCGCCCTTGTGCCACTAAAGCCGGTCTGGGGGCCCCGCTGCATGCCCGGGACTCGCGGGTCGACTTGCCTTTGGTTAGTAGGGAAGATTAGGGGTACCTTAAAGGGATCTATAAGGGGTTCTATAATGGGGATTCTTGTAGGGAGTTTCCGAAGATTAGCGGTACCTTGTTTGGGGGTCCTTTCAATAAGGATCCTACTGTTTAGGGTACTCTATTCAGGTCCCTTCACTTACCTTTGGTTAGTAGAATGGAGGAATGGGGTATAATCATGGGACTACTATTACTACCATGCTTCCATTCCCTACTAACCAAAGGTAAGGTCCGAGAGCTGTGATGAGGTTTTCGGGTTTCCTTCGCGAGCAATTCTTTGGGTGTCGGGGCCTCTCTTTGGGTGTCGGGGCCTCTCTTGGGGTTTAGGGGGCTCTCTTTGGGTTCAGGGGCCTCTCTTTGGGTTTAGAGGCCTCTCTTTGGGTTTAGAGGCCTCTCTTTGGGTTTAGAAGCCCCTGTTTGGGTTTAGAAGCCCCTGTTTGGGTTTAGGGGCCTCTCTTTCGGTCTAGAGGCTTCTCTTTGGGTTACTGGTTTTCGGTACAGACCATAGCAAGGCAGCTGAGATTACTCCGTAATGGCCACCCCATGTGTGGCTTTATGCAGAAAGTGCAGACCTGGAATGTCGAAGCAATGGCCACGCGCCCTAAACCCAACACCCTGAACCCTGAATCCCAAACCCTAAATCCTAAACTCGAATTTCTAAACTCTAACTCCTAAACTTTAAATGCTAAACTTTAATTCCTAAACTCTAATTCCTAAGCTCTAATTCCTAAACTCTAACTCCTAAACTCTTCCTAAACCCTAATTCCTAAACTCTATTTCCTAAACTCTATTTCCTAAACTCCAACTCCTAAACTCTAAATCCTAAACTCTAAACCCCAAGCCCCAAACCCCTAAACCCTGAACCCCCAAACCCTAAACCGCACACTCCAGACTCACAGCTCTAAAGTAAAAGCCAGAAAGTTGGAATATGATTATCCTAAACCCTTTCTGGTAAATTATAGGGTATCCTACCCTGAAACCATATTCCAACTTTCTGGAGTTCCTCTTAGGAGAAGAGACCCTGAACCCTTAAGGTTCGACTCGATGCCCTGAGCCGTTCCCCAAGCCCTACCCAAAGCCCCAAAGTAGTTCATGAAACTATATTCCAACTTTCTGGAGTTCCCTTTAGGCCCGGAAACGCACCGGCGCTGCCCATGCCGAAGCCTGAGCAAAGAAGCTCAAATTCTATCGACACATGTGTGTTTCTTGGGGGAGGGTCTATATATGTGTGTATAAACAATAATCAATACACAAAGAAACATATATATATATATGTATATACATATTTGATTTATTATATCATGATATATGATGTTATGTTATATTGCACTATGCATGTTGCTTCTAAGCGTTGAGGTGCGGGATTCCTACCCGCAAATCGCATGCTAAAAAAGCCGATAAGCATTTTATAGGGATATCCCTACCTTATTGGCCTTCCTTTTAAGGGGGTTTACATGGGATATCCCTCTCCTAAGTTTTTCTTATGTGCTCTTTGGGGGCCCTATATAAATGTCCTCGACCTGAAGCCCAAAGTTGCGGCGATGAAGCCTCAGCCCTAGAACTAGCTTGCAGTAGCTCTCTGATTGTGAGACGCACAAACCTAGCAATCCGAACCCATAGGGTGACATAAGCGATTTACGGTTTGGGGTCTGTTATTGAGAGTTTGTGTTTGAGATGCCTTTCGATCTTCAACACCTTTTGGGTGCCGGAAGGGGTTCTGACATGGCTTGAAGGTGCAAGCAAGTGGGAGTTTCCGAAAATAGGGGACCCTAATCTAGTCCCCCAAGTAGTAGGATCCTTATCAATACGGACCCCCAAAATAAGGGTACCCCCGTAATTTTCGGAAACTCCCAAGATAACACCTAACCCTCATAGGGCCCTTTAAAGGAACCCTTATAGTCCCCTTATAGTAACCCTTCAAAGGAACCCCAAGGTAACCCCCCGTAATTGTTCGGAGACTCCCATATCCTAAGCCCTAAACCTTTTGTAGAACCCCTATAGATCTCTTTAAGGAATCCTTATGGATCTCCCTATGAAGGAGCCCTAAGCCGATAATGCCATCGGTGTGCCGCAAGGCTGGAGCCTCCGGTTTCTGAGGCGCGAAGATGCTTTTAGGATGTTGGCTAGGATCTCCAGTAGTACCCTTATTCCCTTTTTGTAGTCCTAGGTTCCTTATAAAGTTACCCAATACCAAAAAGAGAGGCCTCTTTTTATTCTTAGGTTACTGGGTATCCTAGTTGGGGTTTTTAGAGTTTAGGGGTTTAGGTTTTAGGGGTTAGGGTTTAGGGGTTGGGGTTTAGGGGTTTAGGGTTTAGAGATTTAGGGTTTAGGGGTTTAGGGTCCGAGGGTTTGGGGTCCGAGGTTTAGAGTTTGGGGTCTTTTGGGGGCTTCCGGAGCGTGGCCTTCGAGTGCCCCCTGGTGGAAGGGCTTCAGCCCCCACTCAGCAATAGTTGAATAATATTCATAATATAGATATAGTAGGTCCTTAATAGTAGCCCTATTATAGACTCTTTCTGTATGGGGGCCGTACCTAATGTAACGGATTCAGCCCTGAGCTTCTGAGTTTGGGTCCTGTTCCCCCGGCGCAGAGAACGATTGAGGGCTTACCTTAACCCCGAAGAACCTACCTTTTTAGGGTTCCATGATATGATTTCCTTATATAAGTCCTTAAAAGGGTAGGTTATTTTGGGTTGAGGGCTTAGGCCTTGTTAGCTGAGTAGGTAAGCTTTAACCTTTGGGGTTTAGAGAAATCCTACCAGAATCCACAGTTAACCTTTTTTGGCTAGGGTACACAGCCCCTAAGAGGCTGTAGGGTTGCGGAATCAGGTTTAGAGCGGCTTGAAGTAGCTGGCAGGAAGGAGGGCGAGGGATGTCATACCAAGAGAGGGGGATGGCGCAGAACTCGGGGCGAACAACCATATTTATATATGCTACCCCCCCCGAAAGACCAAGGTTTTCAGATAAGAACATTGGTGGGTTTCCCATTATTATAGAATTCTAATGCTATTCTGGAAGAGTACTGAAATAATGTTTTTTTGGTAGTGTTTTTGTGTTTTGGTGGTATTGTTTTTTGTTGTGTGTTGGTATTGTTTTTTGGTTTTCTCGCCTAGAGCCATTCTAAGTTCTAAGCGCGATCACGACCAAAACGTTTTCGATTCAAGGGCCATATTCTGTTGACGGCTCTTTCGTATGGAAAACTCGCCCCCCATGCCGTGTGCTTTATTAGCTTCAGCTGTAGTATGTGGTCAACCCTACAAACACATTTATTCTTATACTATTGGTTTTAAGAAATCAAGCTACTTGTAACTTTTAAAAACACCTACCAAGCATAGTACTTCGATGCCATCGTTTAGTGTGTACCATTTATTGTATGCGAAAAGAAAAGGTTAACTTTTTGCCAGCTGAATATAGAATTGAACTTCCGGGGTTTCTTAATTACTACAGATGTGGCCCTACAAAGACACGTATTCTTAGACTATATGTTTGAGATATCAAGCATATAGTCTTATAGTTTAAACATGCCTATTAAGTATAAGACCTCGGTGTTACCATTTAGCATGCACCAGTTCATTCTTGGAAAAATAAGATTAAGTACTCAGCAATTGGATATACAATCGAATTTACAGGGTCTGCGAACTGCTAATTGCTAATAATATGGTTTGAGATTCCTTGTTGCGATTTACCCAGATAGCTGCTCAATAGAAGCAGTATAGTAGAACCTTGGAAGCTATACATTTGAATAGGAGCCAAACCGCCTGAAGAAATCTCTCTACAACTAGGCTATTCATGAAGTGCTTTGCCAGTTAACACAAACAGACAGAAAACTGTTTTTATAATGCTTCATATGATATCACTACACCCAGGGATAATGACATACTTATACGGATTACTGGCTGCAGAAACATTATTTATCTGTATGTTGGTAACTAGATGATTGGGTAGACTGAATTGAATCCTCGGATCAATTCAAGCATAGGACTTGCTGAGCTAACAATCGTCAGGTATAAATATAAGAATAGCATAGAGGGTTTGTTGTCTGCCGATTAATTAGAACTCAGAAAGCAATATATTCACAGTAGTGCCTGTAGGGACAACGTTATATTTATATGAAGGTGTAGCTTAGTATATAGCTGTAGAATATAGGCCAGATCCTCGGACCTATTTAGGCGGAGTATTTATTTACTTATGTCAAATCAGTTCTAAGTATTATAATAATACGGTGCATTTAGTAGTCTTTCCAATAATTGAATCGAACATATACATCCATGCATAGATTGCTAGCTACATGGACGTTAAAGTATGTGCTTTTGATACCTCAGTAGTATACAGTTCGATAGATTGAGCCCTCGATTATATTCTTAGTATTCCAACTGCATTTGTTGCATAAAACTAGTAGTGTTATCTGAATTTAAGCTGGGCGTAATTCAAAAGAATACGTTTAGGGAAGCTTAGAGGTAGTATCATGCGTCTAGTTGATGACTTTCTCTTCATAGCCCTTAAAACCCATATGCGTGTACTCCAAAAGTACGCAAACGCAGCGGTAGACTTTGACCCCTGAACCTAATTTTCACACTTCCACGTACGGCCCTCATGATCGATTTCAAGATAAACCCTATTGAGTTCAATAGGGCATATTGAACTCAATAGGCCTCCCGGATTGAAGATTGAAGATCTCCCAGGAAACTTTTCGAGGGCATCTTCAATCTTCAATCCAGAAGGCCTATTGAATTCAATAGGGCCTATTTCAATAGGCCTTCTTGAATGTGCGACAGGAAATGGTATAAGGATTATTGTCTGCAGGCTTGTATGAAAACCACAGCGGGGTTGGTGTCATGCATGTTTGTCCCTACACCTTAGCAGGGTTGTTATTGGCACCCTGCCCCCCAAAGACCAACGACCAGTAAGTAGGCTTGTATCTAAAGCTCATATAGAAACCTTGGTCTTTGGGGGGGTACCTAATATATATATATATATATATATGGTACCCCCCCCCCCCCCAGGACCTACCTCCAAACCCGTCTGTCTACAAAGATGATACCACACTGTATTACCCGTGCACAGACATGCACATGCACGCACACACACACACGCACACACATGCACACACATGCAACATGGAATAGGTGTTTGAAGAATCGTGTATACGAACATGACTATACCAGAGGCCCGGCTGCATTAAAACCCGCATTAAAAAATTAAATTTTAATGCAGCCTGGCCCGTGGAACCAAGAACCAAGAACCAAGATTCCCAGGAGTCTTGAATCCTGAATCTTGGTTCCACGGCCACCGGCCGGGTTGCATTAAAATTTGCATTAAAAAAATTAAATTTTAATGCAGCCAGGCCCGTGGAACCAAGAACCAAGAACCAAGATGCCCAGGAGTCTTGATTCTTGGATCTTGGTTCCGCGGGCAGTGGTCGGGCTGCATTAAATCTGCATTAAAAAAATAAATTTTAATGCAACCCGGCCCGTGGAACCAAGAACCAAGAACCAAGATTCCCAGGAGTCTTGAATCCTGAATCTTGGTTCCACGGTCACCGGCCGGGTTGCATTAAAATTTGCATTAAAAAATTAAATTTTAATGCAGCCAGGCCCGTGGAACCAAGAACCAAGAACCAAGATGCCCAGGAGTCTTGATTCTTGGATCTTGGTTCCGCGGGCAGTGGTCGGGCTGCATTAAATCTGCATTAAAAAATTAAATTTTAATGCACCCAGGCCCGTGGAACCAAGATTCAGGATTCAAGACTCCTGGGAATCTTGGTTCTTGGTTCCACGGGCCTGGCTGCATTAAAATTTAATTTTTTAATGCAAATTTTAATGCAACCCGGCCGGTGACCGTGGAACCAAGATTCAGGATTCAAGACTCCTGGGAATCTTGGTTCTTGGTTCCACGGGCCTGGCTGCATTAAATTTTAATTTTTTAATGCAAATTTTAATGCAACCCGGCCGGTGACCGTGGAACCAAGATTCAGGATTCAAGACTCCTGGGAATCTTGGTTCTTGGTTCTTGGTTCCACGGGCCAAGCTGCATTAAAATTTAATTTTTTAATGCGCGTTTTAATGCAGCCAGGTCGCTGGAAACTATATAAATATTCACGAAACATATCGGCTTGCCCTTTTATGTGCCACATGGCCGGTCCTGCAGTGAAGATTAAGGAGCGGATTGCTGTGCTTGACAGTTTGATCGCATGGCAACAAATGTGTGATGATGCAAGCTGCAGCTAATCAAAATCAAATGATCTTGTACTTCCAGCTCCAGTCCTGTCCTTGTGAGCATAAATAAAATAAATACTGTACAGATAGGTTTAGACATGGAACATCAGTCGGAGCCGAAGATTTGCGAATGTCCAGCTGGGTTATAGCTTACTGAGTAACGGGTTCCCATGGTGGACATCAGGAGCCTACTTGTAAACAAATATCCTTCCAAGTCCACTATAGAATACCCCCTTATCCTTTCCAGGATATCATAGAAAATGCGCAGGTCGTACCATTTAGAGTTTATGACGTATATACTCTGTATAACATACCTTCTGGAACACCCGGTATCTCATGAAACACCATATAGAAATCTGTCCTATATATACACCCTATAGCAAACTGTTCACACGTTACAGTTTGGGATACCCTTTAGATACCGTATAGACTGCCCCATAGAATACCTTGTCCAGGATTTCACAAAAAATACTCAGGTCGTACCATATAGAGTTTATGAAGTATATACTTTGTATAATTTACCTTATGGAATACCCTGTATCTCATGAAACACCTTATAGAAATCTGTCCTATATATACACCCTATAGCAAACTATTCACACGTTACAGTTTGGGATACCCTATAGATACCTTATAGACTGCCCCATAGAATACTTTGTTCAGGATTTCAGAAAAAATACTCAGGTCGTACCATGTAGAGTTTATGAAGTATATATTTTGTATAATATACCTTATGGAATACCCTGCATCTCATGAAACACCATATAGAAACCTGTCCTATATATACACCCTATAGAATACTTTTCATCCGTTACAGTTTGGGATACCCTATAGATACCTTTAGACTGCCCCATAGAATACCTTGTTTTTCTCCTATATACCCTA